TGTGCAGAAGGGCTGTATGCAGGTGTCTGGTGTGTGCAGAAGGGCTGTATGCAGGTGTCTGGTGTTGAGTGTAGAAGGTGTATGCAGATGTCTGGTGCAGAAGGACTGTATGCAGATGTCTGGTGCAGAAGGGCTGTATGCAGGTGTCTGGTGTGTGCAGAAGGACTGTATGCAGGTGTCTGGTGTGTGCAGAAGGGCTGTATGCAGATGTCTGGTGTTGAGTGTAAAAATGCTGCAGTACAGATGTGCTTAATCTCGTGGCTGTTCAGGGAAACTGAAAAAAGCAAATAAGGTCTATTCGTTGCTGACCAAATTTCTATGAGCCAGCAGTGAGGACAAGGAAAATAAGGAGATCATTAAAAACCTGATATTTGCAAGCCTTTCCTATGTGCTTTCTGTGGACTCTTCCCATCCCTTTTGGGATCCTGCAGGCTATGAACCTGGCTGTCTATGGACTGTGGGAATCTCACATGCAGATGGTACAGGCTACCACACAGCATCGGCTCCACGGGATATCCCGAATGACCTCTGTCTTTGGACAAGGTCAAGAGAGGAGATGCTCACTCTCAGTGGGTCTCGGGCTTTATCTGAGCTCCCTCATCTCTCCTGTGGTCACTCTGCTGTAGGCCTGGGAGGAGCTGGACCTGGCCGGGTCCTACGTCGGTCCACCCACCTTTGCACAGGTAGTAGGAGCCCACAAAACTGGTTTTGGTAGGCCGGGGCCGGATGCGCTTCCAGATCTGGTCCTCAGAGCTCCGGAGTCGGCCGAGGAGGACATCCCTTTTGCACTTGTGTTCAAGGCCCTCGCGGTAGGTGTAGTCACCGGCCCTGGGGCCTGTGGGCAGGGTACACAGGGATGCAACTCCAGAAAAACCCGCGCACCCTCATCTGGGTCTCTGCAGCTCCCATTGTCTCTCCCCTGGTATGTCCTTGCAGGAAGAGAGAGGACTTGGGAAGCCCTCCAAGGAACCCACCACATGCCCTAACAGGCCTGGACCTAAAAGTGAGTCTCTAGACTTGTGAAGACAGTGCTTCCCAGAGGGCAGGTCCTAATCAGGGCCCACCCCTTCCTTTCCTGCAGGAGAGGGCCTTGCTCTCCTAGAGGAATCTCCCACGGATGCACAGGTACTTTCGGGCCTGGCTTCCACACTCCTGGGATCCCCAGCATCCCCAGGGCAGAGAGGGGTGCTGCTGCTCATGTGAGATTACCTGTTTTAGGGTGGCATAGCTGGCAGGCCTGCTTGAACTCATGGGTGGCAGCCAGAGGGTTCTTGATGAGCAAGGCGGTGTTGGGCATGGAGGGCTCCGGCTAGAAGGGGAGGATGTCGGCCATCTTGGGCCCTGAGTGGTACCTGGACCACCAGGGCCAGCCAATGCAGTCGGGGATAGGTCTGTGTTTTGATCCCTTCCTCCAATCTGTCCTACCCAGTATCAGAACTGTAGCCTTGGACCCTCTCCCACATCTTCCCAGGCCCTGTCTTATACTACAAGAGCCCCAAACACCAGGACCAGCCTCGAAAGCCTCTGGCTGATGGGGGACAATGAGTAGACGCCATCTTGGACCCAGAGTGTTTCCTTGAACTGAAGGTCAGGATGAAAAGCAGAGAAATGGCAGTAGGCTTGTTTAAAGGCTCTGCCCCTGCTCTCCCTCCAGGGTCCCAGAAATCAAGACAGGAGAAGTAGACCCAGGGAGAGCCGGTGGTTTTTCTAGGGCCACACAGCTGGCACCTAAGCCGAAGTGGGCGTGCATGCTATCACTTGTGCTCTTTTGAACCCAGAGGACGCTAAGCCTGGAGATCACTGACACTAGGGACCTCACTGATGGCTGCCGAGCCTTAGTCTAACGCAAGAGGGTAAGGAGTGCCCTATGTGTGCGCTGTAGCATAAAGCAGTGGAGGAAAGGCCAGGAGATCACTTGGGGCTGGTCTGTTCTGAGGGTACTCCTCTTGGAGGATAGAGCACCTCACCAATGCAGAGGGCTCACCTTACCCCCGATCTGGGGCTCATCACCCCAGCATGAATAAGAGGCCTGGTCTGGGAGCCCCACTCCAGTTACTCACCGAGGGGGCTGGCTTCTGAGTACTGCTTGGGGGACGGTGGTCCTGTGAGCTGGTCTCTTCTAAGAAAGAAGACACAGGAGTCACGTGCCCTAGTACAGAGAGCATGAGGGGCCTTTCTAGGATGCCCCGTATATTTCTGCCTCAGAGAAGCTCCATGGGCCCACCCTCCTATTTTCATGATCACAGTCCTGGAGCAGAGAGGCTCCAACATGTCCACCCTTGCTTATGCCTTCTGAGGCTTCCTGTTGCCCATGGGAGAAAGTCCACACTTAGAGCTTAGCTCACAGTGAGACCATGGCTCACACACATTTCCCTCAGGACCCCTGTTCTGGCCTTCAGCTAGCCCCTGATCCTCCACCATACAGATCCTATGCTTCCGAGGCATCAGGTCCTCCAGAAGGAATCCCAGACTCCTCCCTACCGCTGCCATCCCATGGGTCCCTAAGTCATGAGTGCCCTAGACAATCTCTGACCTCCAAAAGCCAACCCTGTCAAGGCCTGGTCAATGGTGTACGTCTCTGGCTCCCAGCCCAGAGACGTGCTAAGGGAGCTCACGACCTGACATCAGGATTATCTCCATGGGACCTGAGCCTGGAGGTTCAGGACTCTGGAGGGCTGGGCAGAGCCCCAGAAGGAGTCACTACCACAGCTCTACTGTTTGATCCAGAACGAAGATGCCCAGCCCGAGACTCGGCCTCCAACAGTGCTGAGCATAGCGGGGAGGACAGTATGTACTGCTCTGGAGAGTGACGGGGACAAGGGGGTGCACTCTGGAGGCACAGAGCTGCAGAGATCAGAGACGGAGCAGCACTGTCAAGGGAGCAGAGGGAGAGAGGACCCACCCAGGCCTCACCTATGAAGGGGTCAGGCTTGTCCAGGGAGCCTCGGGCTGACCCAAAGCTGTCGAGGGCATCTAGCCGAGCCTCGGAGTACGGTAACAGATCCAGGGGGTCCAGCGTGGGCCCTGGAGGGTCAAGGGCATCCAGCACAGAAGCAGCCAGCTTCCTGGAGGGGTCCATGACAAGGCCAAAGGAGGCAGGAGGCAGTGGGCTGGACACGGGGATGGAGCCACCCACCACAGGTGGTAACAGTGGGGTCCCACCAGGAAACACAGGGATCAGCTGAGGCAACTCACTAGGCACGCCACTGCCAGGCAGGCCACCCTGGACCAGAGACTGCAAAGTGGGGACAGAGCCAGGGGTCAGACGAGAACGTGACCTCACGGCCAACCCTGTGGGGGTGGGGCGCTCCAGGAGCCAGGGTTTCCTCCAGAGCCCGGCCTTAAATGCTAAGGAACTGCCGCTCTGCTCAGTCCCTCCTGGGATCTGTTCTGAAGACTCTGGCAAGACCCTCGTTTTTCCCCACTGTGATGTGAACATGGGGCCCTTCCCTCGCCTCTTCACGGGGCTTCATGGGCTTCTAAGTGAGTGACGGGCTTACAGGGACAGAACAAGAAGTCAGCGACGAGGCTCACCAGAGAGTCCAGGAGGGTGTCTAGTTCCGGACCAAACACATCCGCATCTGAGAAGTCGTCCAGGCCCTCCGTGCTGGGGAGAGTCCGGCTGCTGCCGTCCAGGGGGGCCAGGAGGTCCAGGACATGAGGGAACAGGGGCATTGTGGGAGGGGAGGGGAGCAGGGACAGGGGGGCTCGTAGGTCCACGTAGCAGTCTGTGGAGGGGGTGGGCTCAGTAGCTGAAAGGGCCCTGTGTGGTGGGAGTGTCACCTAGTCACTAAGCCAACAGCTTCCCTCCTTCCCCACTTCCACGGGGACCCGCTTTCCCTAGTCCCTGCCCCAGTGGCAGTGGCCCGGAAGCAGTCAAGGAAGGAAGACAGCAGCCTGGAGCTGGGGGGTCCTGATGGCCCTGGCTCCGCTCAGATACCCAGCAGTGCCTTCTTCGAGCACTTATTAGAGGAAAGGACTCCGAGATGTGATCAACAGGGGCGGGCATGGATGAAGGAAAGGGACCAGCTGAGGAAGTGCCCCCCTGCCCTGCCTCAAGGAAGCCCCTGAGGTGTCCCACGCGCCAGAGCTGAGACAGTACCTGTTTCGATGTCATCTATGGATCCCAATCCGTTAGACGTTCCCTGTGGAGAGGAAGAGAAAGGTGTAGGAAGGAATGGCCACAGGGCCCCTCGCCTCACAGAGGGTTCAGAAGAATCTGAACTTGGCAGCTGCGCCTGTGGGGGTCAGATTCTAAGAGCAGCCTTTGGGCCGGGGGAAAGGCTGGAGCTTGCTCTCTGGTGTGGCCGTCACTCACCCTATCTGGACTCATTTCCTTGTTTGTAAAATATGGATACAGAGCCACACTGCGTGGAACTGTTACAGAGAGAAGGCACAGGGGGAGGGCTGCCACACAGCAGTTCTCTGTACTTATCATGGGTATAATGTGCGCTGTCAGGAGGCTGGCTTTCAGCCACGAGGGACACAAGTCATTCCTCGACCCTGAATACACTCCCTCTTTTCCATGATGCTCCCACCATCCAGCGGAACCTTGTGAGGTCCGGGATGGCCTGTCTCCTTCATGTCCCTGTGGAGAAGGCCCAGACCCTCAGCAGTAGCCACCCTCTCTAAGGTCAGCAGTCAAAGTAATTACAGCACAATCCATCCGGCACCCTGCCTCACCCACTGTTTCAGCCAGCACTCTGTGAGATGCTCACAGCTTCCATTCTTGGGTCAGGGCAGGGCTGTGTGACTAAGGCCTGCCTTGACCTTGTCTGGTCTATCATTCCTTGGGACCAGGCATTCTCCCAGCCCCACCCCCGAGCCTGCCCACAGACCACACAGTGAGTGCGTGTACGTCTGTTCCCCGGGATTTTTGTACACCACAGGTAAGTTGCACAGACCAAGGCAACCGTGCTGAGCAAGGAGCTGTTTTTCCCACGGTGTGTACAGGAAGTAGTTGAGGGGAACAAGGGAGCCCAGGATGAATGCCTCTATGGAGAGATGTGATTCTCCCGATCAGTGCTGCCTAGGCCCAGCGGGACAAGGGACCCCCCAGCCCTCCTGCTCCCACACTGTCCAGGATTCTCTCTCCATGCCCTTTGGCAGAAACCCCTACAAGTAACATTCACGCTGCAATAAAGGCCTCAGATAGCCAAAGCCCTCAGGGAAGGGGTGGAGTGGCTACCTCAGAGACAGGATGCTCGCGGAATCTGACCCCCAAGGCATGCTCAGACTCTCCTGAACCCTGAGGAACTACACCAGTGGTCTAGAGGATGGGTATCTCTTCCTCTCCTGACTACAGGCCTCTGCTCAGGCTGCTCTGTGGCCTATGAACCCGTTCCCTCTCTACCTGGCTGAAGGCTGTTCCCCCAGCTCTCCATGGGGTATTCCACTCTGCTTGGGCTTCTCACAGACCTCCACCACTGTGACCAGTCCTGACCTCGGTGGCCGTGGCTCAATGTACCGATAAGCAGACAGAGATTGGTGAAAAGTGTGGGGTAGGGGTGGGGGCCTTCGTGGTCCACTGCCCGGGCGGGGTCACCCCGATGGGTGACTCCAGAGCTCTTGGAATTGGATGAAGGGAGACAGGTTGGTACGAAGTTGGGGGAACATTTGGGGTCCTGGGCCACATCCTACCTGATCCGTCAGGCCAGCTGGGGTGCCATTACTAAGCAGAGAAAATGTTTCCAATTCCTGCCAGAGATTGGGGAAGAGGCGGACAGAGATCAAGACGGGGGACACAGGCAAAGCATCCCACCCAGCCAGGACAGCACAGAGACCCTGACACCAGCTATGGGGTCTTCGGTGCCACCCAATGCTCCCTACCTGCGGGACTGCCGCTGCCACCTGCCCTGGCTCCCAGGGTCACGTTGGGATTTTTTTTTTTTTAGTTCCAACTGTGACCTCGGCAGAGAATCTAAAGACACACATTCCTGCGACGCGCCAGGCACCATCTCCTGTGTTCTCTTTTTAGTCCTCCCGTGAGCCCCCTTAGGTGGACGGAATTCTCTGTCTTCCAGATGTGGCAACTGGTGGAAACTGCACTAACGTGTTCAAGGTCAGGCCAGAAAAACTGAAGCCATATGTTCTGGGACATGCCGTTTCCAGACACGTGGCAGGTGACACATGTGGATGTGAAGGAGGCCAGCAGACAAGAAGAGTCAGACAGGCACCGTGAGGGGAGCGCTTGGGAACGTGAAACTGAAGGATGCCAGGGTCGACTTGGGCCGTCTCCAGGGTGGCTAAAGGGAGGTGTTTTAACAGCTGGTGTCTAAGGTGAGCTGGGAGCTTTGGCTGTTCTTTCCTCTTCCCCAAGGTCCTGCTGCTCATTCCAGGGCTTTCAGCCAGCAGGGAGAAAGGTCACCTGCTGCCATTCCCTCTGTCCTTACCAGGCTCTGGCTTCCTGACTCAGGGTCCCTCCAGTCACACCCCTCTTCTGTATGCCTGCCCCAGCTCCCACCTACCTGGGGTCTCTTATATGCCTTCCGCACCCGCAGCCCAAGCTTCTGCGCCAGCTCCTGACCCAGCTGAGTGACATTTTCATCCTGTAGAAGGCAGGACACGGGGTCAGATACAACAGGTGGGTTAGGCAGCCCGGGTGCGCAGAGCTAGGCTCCTGGACATCTCTGTGTGGCCCTGGGAAGTGACACTGGCTTTCCAAGTCACATGCTAGGAACAGTGGGGGTTGGGGGTAAAGGAATAGATGTTTTTTATCTTTTTTCAGCTTATCTCTGAGACAGGGACTCACTGTGTTGCTCGGCCTGGCCTTGAACTCCTGGGATTATGGGTACAGCCCACTGTGCCGGGCCGTCTGCAATTTTTATTTATTTTCTAGTGATGCTAGGAGTCACATTGTGTTGTTTTCTGTTTTGTTTTTTAGTTTTTTTCGAGGCAGGGTTTCTCTGTGTAGCTTTGGAGCCTGTCCTGGAACTCGCTCTGTAGACCAGGTTGGCCTCAAACTCACAGAGATCTACCTGGCTCTGCCTCCCGAGTGCTGGGATTGAAGGCGTGCGCCACCACCGCCCGGCCCAGGTAGGACATTTTATGAACATGAGCTGATGTGTGGGGAAAAAAGCAAGTGCTTTGTTCAAGGTCACACTGGAGCTCGGCATGGTAACAGACCTAGACTCCAGGGTTGTTTCAGAGTCACCAGAGGGGCGGCAGGTCTTGATCGGTGCCTGTGTGGACACCACAGAGTAAATACTTATACAGTGACCAAATGGCAGAATGGGACACATGTCCATTTCAGTGAACAGATGCTGGTGGGCGGGGAGGACATGCATGTGAGTGTCGAGCAAGCTCTCTGTTGGTCATTTCTCTTTGTCACTTCCCCACCCCAGAGTGACAGCCCCGACACCACCGTCTCTTCATCTTGAAAACGGGGATAAGGGTACCAGTTTCACGGCACAGGGCAGTTTTAGCAACGGTGACACACCGTCCCAGCTCGTAAACTATAGCCAGCATCCCCAGCCTCCTGCGGCAGAGGAGGAAGCCAGCGCTCAGGAGGACGCGGTGGCACGGAGCACGGGAGGATGGAGCGCGGGAGGATGGAGCACGGGAGGATGGAGCACCGGAGGATGGAGCATGGGAGGATGGAGCACGGGAAGGGACAGGACTCACGTGGGGAAGGGCCAGGGAGCACCGGCTGCTGCATTCATAGGCCTCTTTGTGGCGCCCCAGCTCGTTGAGGGCGCGCGCCTTGCGGAACAGTGCCCGGATACTCTCGCTGTCCAGGCCCAGCGCCTTCTCACTGTCCTCCAGCGCCTTCTCATACAGGCCCTAGGGGAGACAATCAGGCGGCCCAATGGTCAGCACCTTGACCCTCGGGATGGAAAGCATCCTCACTTTCCGGCAGAAGGACAGCAAGGGGACGGCCTCAGGGACCAGGCTGAGGAGCTTCAGGGCAGAGGTAAGGGCAGGAGGGTAGGTAGCATCAACTCTGACGTAAGGGTGAGAGGCAGGTACTGGAGGGCCGCTGTGGCGAGGGCCGCAGGTTCCACAGCGGTGAGCCTGCTGGGTGACACATCTGTTGACTTGTCTGCCCTTGGCTTGGAGCACCTCACAGAAGTGCAGTCAGGAAGAAAGGGTCACCCCTGAGAGTCTAACTCGGTGCATCTGAGGTGGGGCTGTGGCTGGGTATGCTTTTCTGGGCGTTGTCTTTGTTGTGGCTATGAACATGCTTGCAGGTGTGTGTGCCCAGGGGTACTCATGTAGGAGCCAGGGGCCTCCATCTTATTTTCTGAGACATGATCTCTCCCTGGACCTGGCTTCACTGACTGAAGAAACTGGCTAGACCGTTGATTCTCAACATGTGGGTCGCGACCCCGTGCCGACCGATCTTTTCACAGAGGTCACCCAAGACCATCAGAAAACACAGATATCTGCATTATGATTCACAACAGTAGCAAAATTACAGTGATGAAGTAGCAACAAAAATAATTTTATGGGGGCTGGAGAGATGGTTCAGTGGTTAGAGCACTGGCTGTTCTTCCAGAGGACCTGAGTTTAATTACTAGAAACCACATGGTGGCTCACAACCATCTGTAATGAGATCTGATACCGTTTTCTGGAGTGCAAGCATACATGTAGACAGAGCACTCATACATAAAATTAATTAATTAATTAATTTAAAAAATTAAAAAATCATTTCATGGTTGGGGTCATCACACCATGAGGAACTGTATTCAGGGGTCACAGCATCAGGAAGGTTGAGAACCACTGGGCTAGACAGCAAGCTCCAACTGATGTTATCTATAAGGAGAAGGGTGTGAGGGGGTTTAATA